GTTTCCACCTGTGTCATGCTACAGATGAGGAAACCGAGGCCAGAGGCTCAGCGGCGGCCGCACTGGGGCCCCGTGAGCCCTGCGCTGAGCTGCGCGGTCATCGCCCACATGACGTCAGCATCGCCGACCGGCCGCTGGGCCACTCCGAGGGAGAGGGGTCCCCGCCCCCCACGGCAGAGGGTCACGCAGAGCCAGAGACCCTGTTTGGAGTCCCCTGCTCATGGCCAATTTCTCTCGACTGGGTTGAAAAACGTAATAGAAAAAGGCTTTTCCAGCAAACGTAATTTTACTAAGGGGCTACGGGGAGCCCGAGGGGGCCCTGGCAGCTGGTTTCAGCGGGCCCCAGGCCTTCATGTGCGCTGCGTGTTATCAGATGCGGCCATGGCCTGCGCTAGCAATTTCCTCTTTTATTTGCACAGTGACCGTGTGGCCAGAAAAACAGTCACCGACGCGTGTCTGACGGCGGGAGGGGTGTTCCGGGGGTGTTTCTCAGAAACGAGGGGCTCACTGCAGGGGCTCGCCTGGCCCTGGAACGTGGAGGGGCGGTCTGCTCTGCACCCCGCACCCCAACCCCGGGGCCTGGAGGGTGTTCCCAGGGAACTGGGGTGGAGGGCTGAGCAGACGGGGAGCGGTGGGGGAGCTCCTCTCCACGCCAGGCGCCGGCCTCGGCCTAGCAAGCGGCGGCGGCCTCGCGCGCCAGAGGGACGGAGGTGTGAAGGGCAAGGACGCGGAGGCTTCCCCATGGGGCCGACCGGCAGGCTCCGGGGAGGGAGGCCGGAGGGAGAAGGCGCCTCGCCCACCTGCGCCTCCAGTGCGTGCTTTGAAGTGGCCCGAGACATCCCACCTGCGGCCTGGGCCCTGTCCCGCCCGGTGAGGGGTGCGGCCTCAGGCCAGGGGGAGCACCCCCTCTGAGCGGAATGCGCAGTGCCGTTTCTCGGGGGGGGGGCAGGGGCGTCCTGCGCCTGGGGGGGCCCCCAGATCCAGGTCCTCCCGACTCGCCCAGGGGAAGGAGGAAAGAGACCGCTGGCACTGTCCCTTGCCCCGGCTGCGCCCGGACTCTCCTGGCCTTTGAAGTCCCCGGGGCCGTGGCGCCCTGCTTCAGCGCAGGGGCCGCTCGGGAATGCCACACACCGCCCTGGGGTGTCGGGGCGAGGGGGCCCGCACACCTGAACGGGCCCCAGGCGGCGGCAGGCCGTGCGTCTGTGGCCACACTCTGTGTGGCTCGCGGCATGAGGTGGCTGGTTCATGCATTTCTCACAATGCACCACGGTGAGTCTTGGGGCCCGGGGCGGGGCCGCGGGGTGGCGGGGCTGCGGTCGGCGGGGCCCGAGGTTCTGAGGGCTAACAAGCTCCCCGGCGCTTGCCCTTCTGTGAGACCGGAGTAGCTTCCCGTCCTGCTGAGTATACCGAAGCGGTTGGGGGCACCCCCCCCCAAGATTGACCCAGGAAGGGCCTGCAGCCCAGTCCCGCCGGGCAGCCTTGCGTGGCTCAGACCACGGCCCTGGCAGGTCCCGCATGAGGAAGAACCTGATTCTCCTCTTGGGGACAGACCTTAGTGTCCTCGGGACGCTTAGAACGAACACCAGCAGCTCCTGGGCCAGGAAGACGGCGGGCTGGGCTCAGCCCGACCAGGGAAGAAGCCAGCCCTGCGGACTCGGGCTCCGTGGCCCTGGGCTGCGGCTCAGCGACCCGGGCCTCCGTTTGCCTCCTTCGCGCGGGCCAAAGAAGTCTGCACCACAGGGCTGGTGTGAGGGTGAAGCCGCACGGAGAGTGCAGACGCTTGCCGAGTGCCTGGCACACAGGAGGTCGGGAGGGCCGTCTCCAGGTCTCCTGGGCGTACCTGGGGTTTTCTGCTGTAGCTCGCAGGTGCCATCGCCCGCTCCCCTGGGACTGGCCGGCCTGCGTGAGGTCCGCGCGCTCCCCGAGACAGCTCCGCGTCGGGCTCCTTCCTCCCCGCCCCGGGGTGCCCACCTCCGCTGTCCCGCACCCCCAGCATGACGCATGACCCCCTCCGGCGCACGACACCTCCCACACCCCAAGCTGTCCTCCCTTCCCCTCCTGTTCCTGAAATAGGCCCACCCCCGAATCAGCCCTGCTGGGGGGGAGGCTGGGCTTGCAGACGCATCCGGCCCAGACCGGACATCCACCGGGCGCCCATCTGGTCGCTCTGAGCCTGGCGGCTCAGCCAGAGGCCCGGGGCAGGGGTGGGAGGATGAGGTGGCAGCAGGCCTTTGGGTTTTCCAGCAGTAGGGAGGAGGTGAGAGACCCACAGCCTGGTGCCCGAAAGTGGCGGTGCTGGGGGCAGGCTCTCCCCGCCCTCTGACTCCCGTGCCCGGGCCTGGTGGCGCTCGGCCGTCCGTCCGGGAGCAGCCAGGGCCAGATTATGCCTGGCCGGGAGGTGAAAGAGAGTGAACAGATGGCTCTGAAGGTGGGAGAGTACAGAAACCAGAAACATGAAAGCGAGGAGGCCGGGGAATGGCCTCTTCCTGCAGAGTGAGGTCAGGACGCAGCCTCCAGATACGGGGCAGCCGCCCCGCTCCACCCCAGGGCGTGAGATGCAGACTCAGGACAGACGCAGCAGCCAGAAACACCAGTCCGCAGCGGGGGACAGGAAGAGACCTGAGCCCAAGCAAACCCCTGCCGTTCGCTCTGAAAGAGGAGACGTGCTGCCGGTGGCTCAGCCATGCTACAGGCCGGCCAAGGAGCGACCCCTGGCCTGGGCCCCGCCTGCACAGCCTTTCAGAGCCAGGGCCGGGGCCTTTCCTGGGGACCCGATGCCAGGGTCAGCCCAGGTCCAGACCCCAGGCCGTCTTCCCATGGCTGGGAAGGGCCCCCGGACGGGCAGCTTCTTCCAATCTGAAGCCCGCAGCACGACCCTTGTCTGGGCTCTGCTGGCCGGTTGGGCAGCCACAGCGGCTGGTCCTGGCCCTCTCCTAAGCGCTGGCCCTCGCGGGAGGACGGCTGTCCCCGAGCTGCCCATGCACGTCGGAGGTCTGCGTGGACCAGGACAGGGACAGGCAAGCCCGGACGTGGGGCAGGGGAGAGAGGCCCATCCCCCCGAGACCGAGAGCTCGCCGTCGGAGACGTACCATTCACTAGGCTGGCATTTGCACTATCTGCAGCATTTGAACCTGCCGCACCGTCGGCCGCTGTGGGGTGGGAGGGATGGAAAATGCAGTGTGTCACGATGGAGAAAACAGCAATGACAGCGGGGACGGGAACCGACTTGCGGGGTACCAGGCCTAGCGTCTGAATGAACACCTCTGTTGGAAATCAAGAAACTCCGTGGCGGGGGTGGGTGGGTGGGGGGAGGTGAGCAAGGCCAGGGCATCATGGGAGACACGCAGCCATGGAGGGTCGCTGGGACTGAACATGGAGGATGATCAACGTGGTTGGGGTGGGGGTGGCACTGTCCAGGGCGCCCTGCTGACCCAACCAAGGAGGCGGGCCTGACCAGCAGCCCATCAGGGCCACAGGGGCCTGTGGCCAGGAGCCGATTCATGATAGTCAACCACTGGGCAGCGTGGGCACTGGCCCCCACGTGGGCATCAGGCAGGACCACTGTCCTGACCCTGGCGGTGACCTGGATGCATGCCCCGTCAGGTCACTCGCTGCCTAACCCCACCTCCTTGCTAACGAGTGCCCTGAAGGTCAGTTTGGCAGCCCTCAGCGCAATGTCCGGAGAGGTGGCCCTGGGCATGGAGCGTGAGTTTTAATCTGGAAACTAAACAGGACCTGAGACGGCAGTCCCCTCTTGTGCCTTCTCGGGGTGGGGAAGTGGGTTCCGGGAGAAGCCCCCACTGCCGGTGAGGCGGACGGTTGTGGGCGACTGGGCTCTGCCGGGCGTGAGGGGGCAGAGCCGTGGGGCCACACGGTGGTGAGTGAAGCACTGCACTGAGGGTCTGGGGGCTGAGGGCCGCGGGGGGCGGGGGGCGCTGCTGTTTGAAAGTGACCAGCAGAGCCAGCACCGGAAGGGCCAAAAGGCAGAGAGGTTGCTGCTGGGTCCGGTGGGGCTGGCGGCACCGGGGGGCACAGCGGACGGTCTGAGGGCCAGTCGCTGGCCTTCTCCCGCCGTGCACTGGTGGGCTCGAGTAGGGACCCGTGTGCTCCTGTCCTGCAAGCCCCATCTGCCCTGAAGGGTGTCTTACTGTACCTGGTAGCTGAAGGCCATCCCCCTTCTTCACACCTGTGTGATGATTTTTGAGACATGTTAATGAGGAGAAGCACGCGTGACCTCATCTGCACTCCTGAGCGCGCACAGGCGCACACACAGGACCCATGCAGGCGTCACCCTGGGCCTGGCCCCCTGGCTGGCGAGCCCTACGCGGGGTCCCTGGTGGAGCTGCCGGGCCGGGGGCCGGGCCCAGCCCCGCTGTGCACGTGGAGGTGACCCTCTGCGTCTCCCCTCTGTCCTTTGCACTGACTCCTCCGTCAAGGCCCATCTTGCCACTGGCCGTTTCAGTCCCCAGGGTCTGGTCCCTGTTGCTTCTGTCCCTCGTCCAGGCCCCAGTGGGGTCAAGCAAATGAGCAAAGGCACCGAACCCTGCCCAACTGCCCGCATTTGTCCACCTGCCTGCAGCCTGGGGCCACAGCTGGTCAGTTTCCATGTCATTGTGTGGTACTGCCCTGGCATGCTCTGGGATTCTTGGTCAGGACTCTGTCCTCAGCTAACCTCAGCTTTCCCCTTGCCGCCTCTGGTCGAACCCCCCAGGTCATAGCTCAGTGCCATTGTTCCTGCTGGGGTGGGGGCAGCCATGTTCTTAGGGGATCCTGTTAGATCCTTGGGAACAAATGACCTTCAGCCGTGGCCCAGGCTCTGTGCCCACTTGGCCTCTGACAGCTGGAAAGGGCAGGCTGCCCCTGAAACTCAGGGACAGTGGCCTGCTGGCTCATCTTTCTCTGGACTCAAGAAGGCCTGGGAGGTGTGGGGCCTGTCGTGGGGGCAGGAGGCAAGACAAAAGACAGAGGATGGGGAAGGGAGTCCCAAGACTGTGTATGGGCGTTGGGCAGAGAGCCGGCTCTGCTGGGGCCGCAGGCCCAGGCCTAGGATTGGGGGTTGATGCTGCGATTTGGGCTTCTTGCACCTTCTGGGCCTCCTTCTCTCTGCTCTGTGAGGCACTGGTGTCCTGGCTTCCAGCTTGCCGCTCTGAGGGAAGCCCAGGGAAGAAGGATACTTGTTTCCAAGGGGGAGGAAGTGACAGAATCCAGGTGAGGGATGGGAGAGGGGACTCACAGCAGCTGACCTACAGCCACACAATGGCCACTAGAGTCCCCAGAGTCCCCTCTGCTCAAGCCTGTGCTGGATGGGTTTATAATTGTGCTCAGTGGAAATGAGAAAAGTGGCAGGAATAGGTCTAGGTGGGGGTTTCTACTCGATTTTGGCATGATGATGAGATCAGGTTATGCTTGAGGTTAGAGGCTCAACAAAGTGCTCAGGACTCTTGGCCTGGCCCTGGGTAGGAGTGGTGGGAAGGAGGGGCCCACGACATGACTGAACGAGACAGAGACTGGGACAAGACCCTTTAGATGTAACAGATAGAGCCTTCCCGGCCCACTCCAGACCTCGTGGACACAGGAGGTGACTGTTGGCACAGGGTATGGACATAAAAGCCACTCAATAACTATTTTGTTGAGTGAATGAATAAACAAACAAAAAAATGTGGCCTTAAGAGCTCCCCTCTTGATTGGTGAGGGGGTTGAGCTTACCTTTCTTGTCTTTTTTCTCTTCTTCCTCGCCACCTGCCCCCAGCAGGGTAAATATGATGCCAGTCTGAGAGTTCACACCCACTGCGGTGACCACCATCCGTCCTGAGCCCTCCATCACATGGGTCCCTGTGGGACGGGATAAAAGCCAAGTCACCACTGCATGCTCAAGCTCTCTCCCCAAAGGAGAGGCAGGAACTCAGCTCCGATCAGCTCCTGCTGAGGGCCTGCGCATTGACTGTAGTTATAGATGTGTGGTGGGACCCTCTCTGTCTCCCTCTCCCCCTCCCTCCCAACACACACAGGCCAGGCACAGACCATGCTGCCTTCTTATTGACAAATATCTGGGACCCAACCTTATGTTGCTTAATGCTGCGAGCAGCGAAGAAAGCCAACTGAGCCCTAGACACCAAGCTTAATGGGGTCCACCCCTTTCCACAGATCTGTGGAAAGAATTCAGGGCACTGGGATCTGTTCTTTCTTTTCACACATGCTTAACTGAAATATAACATTTCTCCCCACTGTGAACGTAGGCCACAAACCCAGGCACATGAGCAGGGCTCACAATGCTATCACATGCATCACAGAAGTCCCGGATTTTCCACTTCACGTTACAGCTGTTGTCGATGTCCCTAACGCAGTTACTGATTTGGCGGCTGAACTGTTACTGGCTGTGCTAACAAAGAAGCATGTAGGCTGCATGCCATACATTTATGTTTCTATCGCTTTAACGCTTTAAAAATAATTGGCGCCTCTGTGGTCCCATGCGTTTCATTCTATGCTTTCGAGGGTCTGTCCAGAGTGCTGGTGTTACTCACGGACTCCAGTGCTCCACGATGCACTGCAAGTCAACAGCCTCTTCCCTACAATTTTAATTTTCTCAAACCAGGTTCCAAAGGGCCCTGGGATTCTTTCAACTGCAGGTAGGGCCCTAAGGCACAGGGATGAGGGGTGTCTGGTAAGAGTGGTTTCACTTTCATTCATCTTAAGGCTGCCACGTCAGCTGTCATTTGAGAAGAGGGTTCTGTTGCTCCTGCAAGGCAGGCCCCTGCCCTGAACAGGCTCAGAGAGCAACTGCTCAAGACCACCTGGGGCAGGTGAGATGCAAAGTCAGAAAAGCACAGGCTGGTCTGAGGTGTGCTCAGGCCTCACAGGCCCCGGACGGACTGCACGTGCCGGCCAGTGGTCACTCGGGACAGTGGGCTCCTGGGTCCCCTGCAGCGAGCGTTGCGCCCTCCTGCTGGCTTGCGACAGCATCTCTGCCCTGGCCGCTGCCGTCCTGGGGGACGGGGCTTTGTGCCCTGAGCACTGGAGAGGCATCATCTTTCTGAGGACTGGTCTGGCCCCGTCTAACCGATGGAGAGGCGGGGTCCTGAGGGTCAGAGGCCATGGTGGGAGTTGGGGGTCCTGGGTTCTGCCTCCAAATGCTGTGTCAGTGATCTGAACTTTTTTTTCCCCAGCCTCCTTCCAGTCCCGTGGCCCGCCTCATCCTTCTCCAAACTGTCTGGAACCTTCTGCCCTGTCCAGCATCTCCCTTAAACTTTCCCAGATCACCCTACTGGCCACTGTTCTCAAGGACAGGGCCTTGAGGTCACCCGGGTAAACCCAGGAGCTCCCCTGCGGTGCTAAGTGCCAAGAGGGCCTCTCGGCTTTCCACGAGCTCCGGAGGTTTCCGGGCCCCGCCGGGAGGCCCGCCGTCTGGCCCGGCACCGCCCCCTCTTGCTGTGACGCTCCAGCACCGTCCGGCCTCTGGGCCTCTGCACTTGCTCTTGGCCGGCTGCTCAGCTCACCCGGCTCTCGGCTCCCACGAGGGCTCCCACCCTCCCCAGCCACGTGCCTCACGGCCCTGCTCTCTTCCCATGGCACCCTGCGCCCTTCTGGAATTTTCACATTGCCCGACTCTCCCCGGTGCACGCGAGCTGCTCCAGGCTGGAACCCCTGTGCCTGAGTCACCGCTACCCCCAGCACCAAGCCAGGGCCCCGCACGCAGCCGGTGCCCAAAGTCACTGCCCCTGACTGATTCTTTGCCCTCGCGAGAAGGGGTTTACATGACTGACTTCGCCAAACCAAGCCACTAGGTCGTAAGTCCCCCGAGGGCAGGGTCCTTCGTCCACCCCGGCGCCATCCCCTGCCCCAGCAGCGCTGAGCAGAGTAGGCTCAGTGCGTGTTCCCCGGGGAGAGGGAGGGGGTGCTGGCTTGGCGCGGAACTGGCGCAGATCCGGAGCCTAAGAGATCTTCTGGCCTCGTGAGGGGGACCCAGCACCCCAACCCTGAGGAGCAGGCCCCGCGGGGGTGTGTGCCCATCCTGGGCCGCAGCTCACCTGACAGCAGCATGGGGTCCTTGTCCACGGACTTGCGCACCTGGTCAGATTCTCCCGTCAGCGAACTTTCATCGATCTTGAGGTCATTGCCCTGGATGAAGAGGCCGTCGGCGGGGAGGAGGTCGCCTGGAGGGAGGAAGGGCGCAGTCAGCACGGTCTCGGCCCGCACACCTGGGACGGGCGCCATCGCGGTTCCCGGAGTTCCAGCCACATCGCAGGTGCTAGGTGCGCCCATCTGGCGCCCGGGGCAGGCTACGGCAGGACCCAGCAGTCCGCCCAGAGGCGCCGCAAAATGCTTCGGTCTGCCGAGTGTTCTGGCTTGGATCGGGGGCCCAGTTTTCTTAATTTCTTGTTGTCTGGTCTTCAGGGTGGTAGGGGGAAATCCTTTTGGAAGGGATTCGTTGGGTGGAGGAGACCTCAAGCAGGCTCCTTATCAGGGGAAAACAGCCCCTTTGGGCTGAGTGAGGAGGAACACGCCAAGCTCCCCCATCTTCTGCCCCTGCTTATCCAGGACTTAGCTCCTCTACATGCCTTTGGTGCCAGCCTGCACTTTCTCCACGGTGGGGTCCCAGGCGAGAATGTCCTCTCACCCACATCTACTCCCTCTAATGGTTTCCTGACCTTGGGAGCATTCTCAGGAGTTCACATCAGGGGTGGGAAATTAATTCAAACCATTTAGTCTTCGGAGTGTCTTGTTGAGCGGTCTTTAGAGGCTGGTTCTAGGCGTTGAGCTGTGATTGATTAATAATGTCTGCTGCGGTAGCAGTCTGGACAGTGGTGGCCATCTCTGCTTTAGAGGGATTCTGGAATCCTCCCCCCTCCAGGAAGTAGCCTCCCGCCTCCCCAAGAATCTCCGAAGACGGCCGGCGTAGGCCCGGCCTCAGGGGCGCACCTTCTCCCCGGGCCGCGCTCTGGGCCTGCCTGCCTGCCACGCCCGCGCTCTGACGCTGGCTCCGTGGCGGGGACACCCACCATACTTGATCTGGGCGATGTCCCCGACCACGATCTCGGCCACGGGGATCTGGACCACCTGGTTGGCCCGGACCACGGTGAACTTCTGCTCCTGCTCGATGCGGCTCTGCAGGCCCCGGAACTGCTTCTCCTTGCTCCAGTCGTTGAAGGCCGTGACCAGGACCACGCAGATGACGGAGAGGAGGATGGCGGCGCCCTCGATCCAGCCTGCCTCGGCCTCCCCCTCATCCTCTGCCCCGCCCTGGGCTGTCGCACATCCTGCAGGGAACAGAGGAAGAAGAGCAGGGTCAGCCAGGCGGAAGCGACCGCCCGGCCCGGACTCCAGCCGGCTCTGCCGGATACAACGTGCTGCTGGTGGCAGGCGCGTTCTGTGCCTGCGTGGGACGCCCGCCCCACGCAGGGGGCGCCCACCCTCTCTGCACGGGGGCTTCTCCCCTTACTTCCTTGGGACTGTCAGCAGCCTCAGACTGCTTCAC